AAAAACTGGGGGGGGCGGGGGAAGAAGATATAACAACTACAATTACTTGAAGTTGATAGGACAAGCAAACAGAAAGGACATTGTTGGGTGGGAGGGAGGAGAGGGAAGAGGGAGGGAGGTTTTGGTAAGGGGCAACAATAATCAACCACAATGTATATCGACAAAATAAAATTAAAAATAAAAACCGGCCCATCTTAAAAGTAAATTTTCAGGGCCGGCCTGTGGCTTACTTGGGAGAGCATGGTGCTGACAACACCTAGTCAAGGGTTAAGATCCCCTTACCGGTCATCTTTAAAAAAAAAAATTAAATTTTCGAAAATTAAAAAAAAAATAAGAGGGTCTAAACCAAAATCCACTGAAATGTGTTTTCTCTCTCTCTCTCTTTTTTTTTTTTTTGTGACTGGTAAGGGGATCGCAACCCTTGGCTTGGTGTGGTCTGCACCACGCTCAGCCAGTGAGCGCACTGGCCATCCCCATATAGGATTTTAACCCGCGGCGGAGCGCCACTGCACTCCCATCGCCGCACTCTCCCGAGTGAGCCATGGGGTCGGGCATGAAATGTGTTGTTTTGATCCTGCCAGGGACGTGCAGTAATCTTTTATCTCCCTTTTAACACTTGAACTTAGAAAAGTTGACTTCTATACATTCTAGGCCAAGATTAAAGGCTTATTTACTGCAGGTTGATAACATGGCCCTTGGCTAAACAGACCTTTTGCATAAAAAGGGAATGGATTGGAACAACCACCTGTCCCCCACTTACTCCTATAATGTATATATTGCATTATAGTAGTAACATTCTAAAGTGAAGTATGCAGCATTTTTTAAAAAAATGACCATGGGCACAGCAATAACTATCTTTTCATGTATTTTTGACCTTAACACTATAGATGCCCCCTGGGAGATGTCAAAATAATGTGACTCTTCTTAGGATACAAAGGACACATTGCCCTCTTCCTGCCTGTATTATTCCTCCCTGTGGGAGCCCCTTTATTCTCCCTCCCCCCATTAGTAGAATTGTTAAAGTTACTGTTTTTTTTTTTGTCTTTCTGTCTTTTTTCGTGACCGGCAACGGACCGCAACCCTCAGTGTTG